TAGGCAAAGTGTGATAAATCTAGTATGCACCTCAGCATACTTCTTGAATTGCATCCTTTTGTCATTTGGCATGAACCACGTAATGTCACTTTGTCGTCAAGAGTTCCGGCTTCAAAGAGTGTTCTGGGGGAGCTCTTATGTCCCAGAACAAGGTCTTTTGATCAAGCTAAAAAAGAAGCATTGCGCAGAGTTTGTGACAAAGTAATGTTTCCCCACTCGTCCTGTTCATCTACTTGCATTGCAACAGAAATTAGCATACAGGGTGGTTCATTCCATTGTTTTATTGATTTCATAGGCTGCATGTGTCAGTTCATTGACCCAAGGAGTCGTAATTGTTCACAAACATTTAATTACCAGGCAGTTGTACGTCGACAAAGCGTCGGTGTTGGGGATTACGTAGGTCAAAAATTAAAAACTAAGAACCGCAATTTTGACACGAAAAAACAATCCTGCTGAAAAACTTTTTTCGCAAAACTAAGAACTGGAATTTCGTGCCAGACCAGGACACAGTTGAAACGTTAGTCACCCTGGTTCTCCTCCACTGCTACTGGTCCCATTACAAATAAAGCAAGAGCACAATATAATGAATCATCCTGTATACTAAGCTTTGTAGGGAACATAACACGGACAATCAGATGGCTACAATTTTCATTGTCTAGACATGTTGAAACAAAATCAGTGGCAAAATATGAATGGATCTGCAAGACGTACAGATTACTTTCCAACATGAGAAGCACTAGCGTAACTAGATGCTGCTGTTGTTCATCCACAATTCGTTTTGATCTAAATGTTGTGTGGCCCGTGCTGTCTCTAACTAAACGAACCATGAAATGGACATTAACAATGGAGAACTAAACAACCCTTCTCCCACCTCGCCAAACTATGCCACTGCAATAACTTTCCAACTTTCTGATGGCATATTATGTATCTCAAGTGGTTCTTAGCTACAGGAAGTTTTCATTTTTTTCCTGGTTTGATACTTTACCGGCACTATGTGGCCCTCCTGTAACCTGTTTTCTGCTTCACCTATTGGCCACGAGAAATTCTCGAAGGCCCTGCTTACATCACCACAACAGCTCTAAACTTGTGACTCTTCCCCCTTATAAAGGTCAACTGCTGCTCCAACACTACAAACAGGTCGCAGTGCAGCAGCGAAACAAGCCACTACGCTCCGTGCCCGTAGACTAGCGATCGACCACAACCATGCCAACTCGTATCGTGCAAACAAACGACAGCGCAATAATTCTGCTTGCAAGTTTGCCAACATAATCTCTGTTGCAAACATTTCAGGCACAGTTCATGCAACGAGCAAAGTTAAACAACAATGCAACACCCGTCACTGCATGGTCAAAGAAAAAGCAAGATCACCGTTCCCACCTTTCACAACGTTCATGAAGTAACGTCCTTTTCATCACTGACCCGAATGTGGCCGTCGGACTTGTTAAAATACTGGACCCGCCCCAAAACGTGTGCCAGGCTACAAGAGCGATCCCAAATCAATCCTACTAGAATCCCTAGTACAATCCCAACTCAAAAATAATGTGATGCAGTAAGGAAAGCATTGTCATTGAGTTTATAATTTGTTGTTAAATCTTGCTATCCCTTCAAAACTAGCCCTGACAAACACCATTTCTACGACATGCTCATTTGCTAGCCGAGATAAGCGCACGCTCAATTTCACTTAATCATTTCATCTAATAAGTAATTTCTTTTAACACCTGCTCACACATACCACCAGAGTCACCGCCAGCTAAACAAAAACGATGCGTGCATCTGGGGTGATGCAAGGAAGAAGCGAAAAGCCGCATTGTACCATCTTACTTTTGGGATGAAACAATAACCAATCACGAAGCCTTTCTTCATAAACTGAAGCTATGTACCGGGTGTACAGGAAAAAAAGAAGCATGTTTTTCGCATTGCGAAATTTGACTGTGAACTGTTGAAAGCCCACACTACGTTAGAATGTAGCATCAGCAATTGGGACAAGATTCCAAAGTTTAAGAACTTATCATTAAGCCAAAAGTTACAAACGAGTTTCATAAATTTTAAAAAGAAAATGGTGTTCATTTTCCGGCTCCACTCGTTATTCGTCGTCAAGTCTTCTCGAGCTCCGTTGGCCACCATTTTCTCATTGACAACTTTAAAACAAATTGCTTATAACTTTTGATTCAAACAACAGTATACTCCGTGTCACTAGTTCTGTGCAGTGCAGGCGAAGGTAAACACCAGGCGAAAAGAGAAAGGGCATGCACTAGGAACGCGGGATGGGAGAGGAGGGCAATGGAGGGCGAGGACAGAAAGAAAGAGCACTGGAAACATTAGAGAGGAAAGGAGGTTTCTCTTTCCCTCTCCAGCCCTCCTAGTGCTTTCCCTTTCTCCCTCGCCTGGCGTTGCCTTCGTCTGTACTGCACGCAACTAGTGACGCAGAGTATATATCCCGAAACCTCAGCATCTTACTCCATACAACTATGCTCGGAGCGGACACCGAGCACCCGGTGGTGCACAGTTTCTTCCTGCAATTTGAGAAATATCTTTTTTTTTTTTTCCAAGACACCCGGTAAGTTTGTAGAGCAGAGCCAACCAATGAGGAGCGTAAGTTTGTCTGCTTCTCGACAGGGGTCGTGATGGTGTCAGAATGCCGAGCTCTTATTGGCTGATCAAAAAAGATAATGGGTAGACCTCGAGGCATCTAGCTTCGAGGTCTACCCACTATCCTTTCAATCAAAGCCAATCAGAGCTCGACGTCGTTCTGACGTCACCGCAACTCCCGCATAAGGAACGGACGACTCGCACTCCGCATTCCTTTACGAGTTTTTAGCCCCCAGCGACGACGCTCTGCGCTGTCGGTGACTCGGCGGCGCAAACAACGGTGGATGCCGTGACGGGCGAATTCACTCGAGGAGTTGCGTGTTGGCGGAGACCGAGGCGCCGAGAGGACGCAGAAAAAGAGAAGAAGGGTGAGAGAAAGAGAGAAGAGAGGCACGCACGCATGCACGGGGCAGCCGCGGCGGCAGGCAAGCTAGGACGTAGCCTGGTCCTTCTTGGCCGTGAACGATATCACAGAGCGGAGCCCCTTCACGGAGGTCTGCGAGAAGGACGGAGGAGGGGAAAACGGAGGGGGGAGAGGGTGTTTCTTCCTCGTCTTCTTCCGTCCTGCTTTCGCCCTAAAACAACCCCCGTCAAAGAGAAAGGCAGCCTAGCAGTCGTGAGAGGGCGTCCGGAACGCACCTTTGCCTGGTACGTCTAGTGTCCCGCACTGTCTGTGCGTCGGAGTCTTGCCGAAACGGCGGCAAATGCAAAACGGGAGTTGCTGGACGACGTTACGAGCTGTAGCAATCCTGACAATTGACTGTTTGTGCGCCGAGAGGAAGATGAGCGGACGCAAGAGTCGGTGCTGCCGTGGCGTTTCAACCTCGTTGCCGTAGCTTTTCGCCTACCAGCCAGCCAAAAGGCGAGCTATGACAAACGGCCGTCCGCAACACCAGGATCGTGGCAATTCGAACCCCTACACAACCGCGCTGTTGCCGAGCGGAAACTCGTATTTGTATCTGCTTCGGCACGGGATGGCCACGACGCCGCAGAAAAGCCGGCGGCTCGTGTCGAGGAAGCCCACGGTGAAGGCACAATATGCTCGGTAAAGGCAAGGCAAAGACACCAGTCAGAGGTGCGTTCCGGATCCCGTAGCCACGGCTGAGCGAAAGGAGAGGCTGCTCGACACCGCAAAGAAAAAGATGCGCACGGCACAAAGGAGAAGGAAAAGAAAAAGCCAGCAACACCACCACCATCACGCGGAACCAAGGGCACGGACACATCAACAGATGCACCACACAGGTGAGGGAAACGACAACCAAAAGGTAACGAAGGAACGAAACAGCAGCCCTTGCAGCTCCGCTACTGTCACTACTAAGGAAAGGGGGAGAGAAAAAAAAGATACCGTCTACCGTGGATGCCAGCAGCAGACGTCACGCACGCACGGAAACGACACAACGAAATGCACAGGAAAAAAAAAGTCAGAAGCAGCTCGGCATCTATTGCGAGGTTTCCACTACCGGCACCGGCTTCTCTTGCACGACGCAAGCGGCGGCACGTGGCGCGAGTGCTACAAATAAAACTATATCGTAGGGTTTCCCCTAAGACCGACGTTGTCGCTAAAACCGCAACAGGTCGTGTCTCTGTGGAGATCTGCGAGAGCTCCTGTCGTTCCAAACGAGATAGATTCTGATTGCGGCGGTCCACCGGTGAAAGACGTCGCTGGTGCCGCTGAAAAAGGTTGTGTGGTGCCGATGCTGAATTTGTGCACCAGTTGGCACGCTCGTGTGCTACAACAAGACTGCTAATTGAACATGTGAGAGATTAAAACCCGTGCCTCCCACGCTGAAACAATCGCAGCGGTACGTGCTTACATTCGGTCGTAATTTCTGGTTTCAACCTCCCAAGCGTCTTTAGGAGACTTGCCACTTTTTGCGACTGGATGCAAAAGCCCTGCATGGATTATCGTCTTGCTGCATAATGATAACCATTTAACATGAGTGTCATGTGACAGACCACTCATTCCACGACAGAACCATTCTGAATAGACCTGCTGCACAATGAACCCATCATGCAATGAACTCAAATCGTAATGCAGAACCTTCACACAAGAGCCCTACCATGTCAGGGACTTATCCCACATTGCAATGGTTCTGTCATGCAGGGGATTTGTCATATGAGAGGTCCTGTCTCGCAAGAAACCCGTCAAGGCAAAGAATCATTTGCCCTATAGCCCAACACCCGGATTACCCATCACCCTGCGTGCGGACCTGTCAACCAGCAGACCCACCAATCAAAAGACCCACCTATCAACAAACATATCAAACAGTGGACATGTCAGCCAAAAACCCTGTCAATCAACAGACCCATCAACTAATAGACCCATCAACCAACAGATTCATTACCCTGCAGACGCACTATGCATAGGATCCATTACCCAAGTTGCACCTTATGGGACAGGAAAAGCTCACCTTCTTCTTAGTGCCGTTTAGGTACTCCTTGTACATGTTGGAGCGCAGGTACCGCGGGTAGCTATCGTTCTTCATCAGAAGGTAGAGGTGGGCCTGGAAACGAAGATTGACACAGCAATTTGTCATCTGACAGCTCCACCCAACGAATGCAGCCTATGTTTTGAGCCTATCCTTCTCAGCAACATGATGAAAGATTAAATAAGAAATCCGTTAAAAGTAGTTACGTGCGAATATAGTGAATACTGAGTTTGAAGTGATTTCAAAACAAATAGCGATTTTGGCCGAACATTTTTTAAATCAAATATTGAATAGTTTCTTCAAGCCTTTCACTACTGTTGAACCATGCTTAAATGAAAACCTAGCAAAACATATGAGGGTTAAAAGCAATACTTTTCAAAAAAGTAAAAATTAATAGCATGAATTTATTCTTACAAATAGAAAGAGACATAAAAAAAAGTGTCCACTCACAGCAGCCTCCTCAAAGGTCCACCGGTCAGGGTTTTCCATGTTCCTCTTAGTGATCTCGTAGCTTTTCGAGTCTATATTAATAGGACAGTTGGCATCCGTGCCCAGGTACTCACTGAAATGAAAATGGCACAACTAAAAAGAACTGCCTCAAAAGCACTAAACCAATACAGAAAACACGCATTTAAAAGTATTGTATTGTATTTTCCATTGTATAGTTCACGTTTTTTCCCTCCAAGTTTCTGTCGGTCTGTCTTACACATAGGGTTCCGCGTTTTCAGATATAGTTCTGAAAAACTCAGAAAAACGCCCGCCGGTAAAATTGTGGTCAATTCGAACTTATCCATTAAATTCCAAATTTCGATGTGGCAATGGCAACCTTATCTCTTTAAAAGGGGGGAGGGGGTCTCCCTTTTAAAAAAAAATATAAGGAAATAAATAAAACAGTATTTTACAATTAAGTTTGATCGGTGCACAGGGTCAATGGTCCTGGGAAAATGCCACCACATTTATCTTCAAATCTCGGACCATTGCCAAAAGGGGTCTTACTGCTTATCTCATCAAGGTTCATTCAGGACAATAGGCCATTGTACTTTCGGGTCATGACAAAAGCCACAGTTTTGGTTTCCAGTTTTGGCCATACTATTAGTGCTTTAGAGGAAAAGAGATTGTGTTTTTGCAATGGTGAGAGCTATGGACTATAATGATTGCCTAAAATGGGGAAGAGGGGCAGTTGAAGCTTCTCTATTACATCCTTCACCACTCCACCTCGCACGGCCACTGGGTAGGTTGATGGAATAGGATGAGATGAATAAGCTTTCCAGCGACTACATCCACGAGTTTATTCATTTTAAACTATTGACGTTTATCGAAGCAACACCTGTGTGCAAAATCTGTCATGGTTTACACACTGGATATTATTTATTCATTATTATCGAGAAACACTCCAAAATTAAAATCTGACTCTCGGAGAATTGAAAATCAAACAAAAACAAATTCTGATAAACTCAGAATTGGACGGAAAATAAACTTTGAAAACACAGAACCATACTTATACAACAGTGAGACTTTTGTGCCTTTCTTTTTTGTACGTATGAACCTCAACTTTTAAAATTTGCCGCGGGGGTAATATTTCTCGTTCTGGCCGTTAGCGAGAATAATGAAACTGGCTCTTGAGCATATGTCTCACAATTACAATACACATATGCAATTCCACTGCACCAAGGATACAAAGGAGTGCGACATTTGCAGAGGTGTGACTTTTAAAGTAACCACTTTTTCACGAAGACGGCCCTTTCGACTCACAGACCAAAAACTTTTAGTTCAACAATCTCGTGTACATTTATGATGGGGCAACTCTTCCAAGTCACTCCAACTGAGGGCTGCACTCCTTTTGGGCCTTACAAAATGCATCCCAAGTAATGAGCCAGTAATTCGTAACACACAGCTCCATATTCAACCTCTTAACAATCTGAAGAAGCAAAAGCGAAGGAATGGTGCCACCCACTTCCAGATCTCTTGTACTTTGATGGGGACATCCTTTGAATGAACCTGCTTCAGCTCTTGAACCGCATCCCAGAACCTGAAAGGAACCGGTGCCGAACAACGGTCACACGCTACAAGGTACCACACGGGCCAACCTTGAGACTGGTTTTGCTATGTCTGGTACACTAGAACCTTGTTGATACGTTCCCGGTTGATATGTTTTCCCTGCTGTCATACTCATGAGCGCCGGTCCCGTGCCGGTCCTGTTTAAAGGGGTACTCCACCGGTTTTTTCATTGTTTCCGATTTGCTTGAAATTTTGCTAAACTAACCAACAAACATTGCTAAAATAGTATCCCAAATATTAGGTCAAAATATTGTTTTTTCGCGAAGTTATTGAATTTACAGTTTTGGTCTTCACCATGTTTTTCAAACTGAAAGTCTCTACTGCCAACAACAACAAAGTGACGTCAGTGGAAGGCAGGGGTTAACTTTTTGGACTACAGAAGTTGTTCCCAACGGATTTGAAGCAGTTTCTTGGTGTCAAATGAGTGCTTTGGAAGCTCGCTCCCGTATCCGCGCTCCAGCACGGAACAAATGATTGGCATATTCTATTTTTTGGCTGCTTGCTTGACTGGCAAGCCTGCCTGCCACCAACGTCACGGCACTGAAAAGTGCGCGAATATTTGAATATTGGTTTTTGCACCATTTTCATTTGCCGATTTCACAATACCTATTATGAATTTCGCGATGCTAAATAGCATACCGGAAAGGCTAAAGGCCGGGGAGTCAGAAAATATAGTTAGTTGAGGTAGCTCAAAAAATCGGTGGAGTACCCCTTTAACTCCCATAGAGATACATGTACTAGTTTTCTGTCTGTTACATTAAATTTCCCGGTTGTTACGTCCAAAATCTGCTGCTCAGCGCTCCCGAACCCGTGCTCCTGGGCCGCGCGTGGCAGATTTTCGGTCTTCTGTTGGCAACGCATGCCTTTCAACCTCTCTGCTGGATTCTTCAAATTATCTAGTCAAATCCAAATTTGTTTGAATCCATAAAAGCTAGCGAGCGAGCGATGGCACAATCAGAGTCCGTTTAGGATAGCTCAACCAGCTCAAAGGTTTCAAAGTTTTAACGCGCTAGTCTCTAGCACATGTTTTGGTTCTTGGATCTTAACAAATTCCGTTCCTGTCGGACGTTTTGGTGAAACTGATGGAAACACGGCAGGCTCAGTGTGACGCTTGTTTCGACTTCGGAAGTGGAGTAAGAGCTGAGTAAAACTTGGCCGCTGCTCGACGTGAATGAGTGCAGTTGTCAGAAATCGTGCTGGAAACAAATTTTAGCAAAATAAAGGTATTGTTTTACTTCTCCATTAGCCTCGCACAACATTTGTGATTCTATTTTCCCCACTGAGCAATATGAAAATTGCCCCTCGAGGTAGCAATCGTGGTTGCGCTTTAATCGGGTAGATATGGTATAGGTTGACTGCTACGTAGTTCTGAACAACTGTGCCGAAAAAGAATGCCCAGCTGTATGATAACTAACATGGCAGTTCTCTGAGCCCCCAAAAGTCATTCTGGAGAAAATCCCAGTGTAAGGGTTGCTTCCCGTCATATCTGTAGCCCCATCAACAGTGTTATCGGTTGTTACGTTGTCTCGGATGATGCATTTTTTTTTACGCAGTCCCTGAAAAACGTATCAAAGAAGTTCTACTGTATCACACAGACAGCAACGATGAGGCAATAAACCTAAGATCTCCCGTGGCTTGTCGGCCTTCCACCAAATTCCTTAAACAGAGCATTGCCTCCACTCAAGCTACCAGTTAGCCTGCCACGTAACAATATGAAGGAGCTGTATGCTGCCTGCTTGTGCTTGTGCCCTTGTTGTATTGCAAACCAGCTTAGCACTTGCCGTGCAACGGACTTCTTAGAGCAAGCGGAACGAACTGCGTGAACCGAAAAACTCAAAAAACGCAAGCTGTTGGCCAATTGGGAAAATGAAAGTCCAATAGCCTCGTCTAATGCTTTTCGTAATACTGGGACAACCTAATCTGGTAATAAACACTGTAAAACAATTAGTGCAAAAGACACGGACAAGACAGAGATACGAACAGGACAAGCGCTTCGTATTTGTCGCATCTCCGGCTTGTCCTCGTCTTTTGCGCCAACTGTTTTCACAGTGTTTACACAACTGGCCCGACAGTTAATTTTGAACCTGGCAACAAAGTTTGAGAGCTAGGCATTAAAGGTCACATCCCTTTAAACACGTGCATTCTTGAACATATTTAGTTTGTACACACTTTTCATGTAAATCAACTGGCCCCAAAATTATCGGATCTAAGACTTGCGTCATGAGGATATCACTATGAATACAATCAAATTACGACGGAGTACAAATGATGCTATGGGCCGTTGCGGCCAATCCAGCTCTGCGATCATGTCATGTCACTATGTTCCCGAAGGTCACGCAACGCTCGCACGGCGGTGGATTGGCTCCGACGGCCCGTACCGTCCTCTGCAGTCCGTCGTAACACAAAGCGGAGTAAAGGGGGCCTCGTCGTTGCAAGCCCCACGAAACAAGACTAATTGCATAGCTCAAAAGATTCGAGAGGCGCCGGGGCAGTTTCTGTGTGCAGGAGCGGGACCCACTTGAGGTTCTCGGCGCTGAACTCCTTCTCGAGGAAGTGGAAGAACTGCTCCCGCCCTGCCGGGTCCCGAAAAAGCTCCTTCATGGAGAAGGCCCACCGACGGACACGCCGTGCTGGGATGTCTTTCCTGCGACGCAAACACAAAAGAAGGTGAGGGTGAAGGCCCGTTAACACTTACACCGCAGTGTTAAGTCGGCGTTATACCGGCACCGTATTAGGGCTCTGCTGCGTGTGACACTTCCTATTTCGGTGTACACGCACGATGCAGCACCAACTCGGTGCCGAGTCAGCACAGGCGCCGGCACTGAACCGGCGGTGACTTTGCGTCATCTGAGCACCACGCTGCATATCTGAACCATCCTTAAAGGCCAGTTCACACGAGCGGTATTCCGAGCTACCAGAGCTAAACGCATTTTTGGAATACCTAGGCTTTAGTCTTTCCGGCACGCTATTTACTGTTTCTAAATTCAAAATAGCTACTACTGACAAAATGGCAAATGAAGGCGATCCGAAAAACAACATTAAAATTTTCCCACACCCCCCGACGGGGTGACGTCTCATGCGATATAGCTTGCAAGTGGACCGAGCGGTCTAAAAGAAACACGGTATTTTGCATGTGCTTTTTTGCTTTGCTGACGTGAGCTTAACCAGCGTTTGTTTCACACCGTCAAATTTCTTGTAACTCATCGGGAACAAACTATAATGCCTTTGTATTACAACATCTGACATCACATTTTCAGTGTGGCCACCAGGGTCTCTCAACATCTCGGGTCAAATTAAATTCTCAATAACTTTGCAGAAAAAAAAAATATTGTGATTTGCATTTTGGGTTACCAGTTCAGACACGTCTGTTAATATCTTGGACCAATTTTGAGGCAAATTAGTGGCTAGCACCGTTATCCTCTTCATATGCACCCAGACATAACAACACACACATAAAAAAAAGAAAATAGCAGTCGATCTTGGCACAGTTTCTATTTTTTTTTTTTTTTTTAAACTCCCAAGTATCAATTATTTCCCTGACGAGGACCGTCAACAAGGGATATGGGTGCTTGGAGAACCTTAGTAGAATACCACCTTAACATGATGCTTGTGGTGACCGGAATGTTAATTTCTAGGACGCCTGTTGGTAATTTCGTGCAAATGTACAATGCATCGTGAATATAAGGGCCTGCTGTAAAATGAACGGGAAAAATTGGCATGTAACAAGCCCAAACGGTTGGTGGCAGGTTTAACCCTGTCAAATTTCAACGTGTGCCTGAATTGCTGTGAGCAGGATGCTATATAATTTATTCAAAGCTTGAAAGTATTTTTTGATATATATACAGTAAAACCTCGTTATAACAAAGTTGAAGGAGTGGTCATAATTATTTCGTTATAACCATTAGTTTGTTAAAGTTAATGTCCATTTCTTCCCACCATTAGCAAGCAGGCGGAATTATGATTGCTTTGTTATATCCATTAGTTTGTTATATCCCATTTTGTTATAATGAGGTTTTACTGTAGTATTAGTGTGTAAACTGCAAGGTGCAAGTATGCACCGGTTGGACAACTTAGAGTCAACAGTTGGAGAGCGTTCAACTCAAACCATGCTAGCGCTTGCCTTAAAAATGAATCACTTTAGAAAAAAGTAAAAAAAGAGGAAAAAAAAGTTTAAAAAAAAAAAGTTAGTGCAGACTTGGCACATATGTGGCTAGGCAAGTTGCCCAGCCCAGTTGCAATGCCAACACAGGGCAGAATCAGTATTGTGAGATTAATTAGTCCAAAAATGCAGGATCCCAAAATTCGTCCCTGCACACTAAAGAAAAAATGGTTCTGCAATCGAAACAAAAATGGCGACAAATTAAAAGTGTTCTTTCAGTTTTTTTGTTTCTTTAATTATCGCCAGCAGTTCTTGCAACCCGAGTTATGTCGAAAAACCGCTTGTGGCCTCCCTAAACTGCTAGCAAAACTAGCCAACATATGCTGCCCAATAAGTGAATAATCCCAAATGAAGCAGTTGAACGCTCTCTTGTTCTTGGCTCTTAATGCAAGCATCTGGCAGGACGACTTTCCAGCGATGCACCCGTGCAAGGCTGCAAAGGCAGCACACCGGAACATTCCCAGAAACCATGAATTTCTCTTTGGTCTTCCTTTCTCTTCATAAATATCCACATCTGTGTGTAAGGAGGACAACCACGTTTGATGACAGTACGTTTTCGTATATAAAAGAAAAAGGAGCTCATCCCATGTATGTGCAAATTTGACAACTATGGCTGTGTGAATATTCAAATAATAGTTTTGAATAATACTATATTTGATATTCACTTCAAGATTAAATTGTCATATTTGTACTTATTGAAGTGTGTATTATGGCGGCTTAGTTTTGTTGACTGTGCTTCTCACCTAAGCACCTATGCACAGCAGAAAAGCTATACCAGCAGCTTGAGGGCATTGCTTTCCTGCAGTGCGCAGTGCACAGGTGCTTGGTGAGAAGTGAACTCAATGGGCCTAACCTGCTGAGATTATGCAAGAGTTTACGTTAGGCAACAATGTCTTGACAATCTGCGTTCATCATTCATGCTTAATTTCTTCTTTTTCTTTTTCTCAAATTTAAAATTGAAGAAAGCAAATTTGCATTGATGGGCTAAGGGCATGCTGATGCGAGTCAAGATTAAAGAAAGAATAACCATTTTTATTTTTAAATCTTGAATATTTGCACATAGCAAACAGATTTATAATTCCCCTCGATTAAGGTAGCTGCAACCAATTTTTTGTTTACATGCCACAGTTAATAAATAGTTATATTAAAATTAACTGAGCTTAGAAGTGTACAAGTGGAAGGTTGGGAACAGCCTTCACGAGTTCAGCTGAATTTTTGTTAAGGCATGGCGCATGGTGGTGAAAGGGTTGGAAAAACTACTCAATATTCGATTTAAAAGTATTTTGCCAAAACCACTATTCGCTTCGAAATCAAAGTCCACTACCTGCACATGCCCAAAGACAACAAAGCAGACAATTGTTTGAACAAGTTACTCCGGTGGCCCACCCAAAATATAAAAATAAAAAGTACAGGATGTCCATAAAAAATATTTACAGCATTTGTTTCTTACTGCAAAAATGAACTATGCATCGCTGAACGCTCCTCCACCCTAACGTAGCTCTAGAGGTTCAAACCAGCTGCCACAGTTTCAGAGCTTGCTGTTGCCAAATTCCAAAGTTATGAGCGATTTTTTGGAAATTTTCGACAAGGGACACGGCAGCCGATGAAGCTTACCAATACTGAGAGACAAATGGCATCGGCTGCCGAATACGGGCCCTGTTTTTTTATTAAAATGTTCTGAAAATCGACTAACCTTTGTATTGAACGGCGGCAAGCTTTGAACCTTTCCGATCGGGACGACTAGCACTACATTTTGGCATTCGGCGATGCATAATTTATTTTTGCGGAGAAAGAAAAATTTTGTAACGTTTTTTGCGGAGGGCGAGAGTGACGTACGTCTGCTTCTCCAGCTCCCAGAAGTCGGTGCTGTCCGAGATCCAGGGGTTGGAGGGCTCCGGAGTGCTGATGAAGGGGTCGTACTCCTGATACTGCTCGAAGTAACTCAGGTACCTGCGAGGACAAAGCGCCGGGCATGACTCTCTCACTATTTCTAAGGAGACCACATGAAACAGCTTTTTTTCACCTTGGTTATTGCAAGAATAAATTGACCTCCGCCCAAAATGGAGCACAAATCACGCCCTTTGGGCAACTGGCGCACCGCTGAAAAAGTCCAGCTGGTCCGGGACTCAAACCCGGGACATGACTATACACCGTTATTAAGTCCGGACACAGTTGACGCTATGAGCAAATGGGACCAATCGAGCAGCGTGAAAAGCGCAAGTCACTGGGCCTTTTCTGTTTATGATTGGTTCGGCGATGATAGGACACAAACAGAAACATGGTGAACATCATGATGGTGCACTTTTGATGCGGTTTGATTGGTCCCGTCAGCTTGTAATGTCGGCAGCGTCTGGACTTAAGGTGAAACGAAGCACTGTAGCACTTCATTTCAGGGTAGAAGTTAATTTATCCTTACATAAATCCTCTCCACCTTGGGTACTTCCCATAAAATCATTGTATCACGGGTTGGTCACCTAATGCTCAAGGCTAGTTCAAACATAGGCATTTGACTGTGACAATTGCGTTACGATGACCGGTTGCGTCTGCTTACGACGCAGTAACACACCTGCACCGTCTATTGGTTAGTCTGGGAACACCTCCAATCTGCACGTATTTCCTCATTTTTTAGGTACCGCACTTTCACCATGGACTCTAAATAATTCGGACAATGTCATAAGCAACCAATTCTCGTAGACAGTGAGTGTATTTCATCTCGCAAATGCTGCAAAATCTTCGGTTTAGTTCTATGCATTGGAAGTGTTCCAGGGGTCCAAGTTTGGCCGCAAGATTGAGAGAGTTTTCGGCTGCCGATGGGACACAGCGCCGCAGCTTGCACGTAATCAAACAATGAAAGATTCTTTTACCCGTTCGCGAGTTTGCAGTCGGGCAAAAGTTTGGTGAGAACGTCTCACCGACACACAAATAGCGAGAAAGGCCTCGCGGCCCCTGATGTGCTTGTCCCTAGTCAACCAACCACCAGTCAATGCCAGCTTGTTCATGAGTGGAACAGCTTCAGATTCGTAAAGGAAGCACAAGTTGTCAATGGCTTCCAAAGTGAAATGGCAGACAATCACAATTTAAGCCTGCGTCCACTCTTGCTTCAGCTCGGCGCTCGGTTAGCAGCAGACTATCAACTTTTATTTCGATCTGTAAGCAGACGACGTATGGCCTTTGCTCGTTATATTTCCATCTGCGAAGAAGGCTTCAGGGCAGACGAACCGCATTCTTTGCTCGCATTAGCAGACGAACCGTCTACAAACGCCATCTTCGCTCGTTCCACGAGGCAAATTAGATCTGGCTCTCACAGTGACCAAAATCGGACCCCAGGGCTGTTAGTGTGCAAGCGTGTTCTCATCGTAGGCAGTTACAACTTGTTCCAATGCAGCTATTCACACTCAAACACAAATCTGTGAACAAGCCTCAAGTCTGCACACCTTATAAAATTTGAATGTTACAACCCTGTTCAAATATATAAAAGTGCCAAAAAACAACGGGGACAAAGAAGAGTGGATGCAACACAAGGCGCTTTTCTTCGTCCTCGTCGTTTTATGGCCCTTTTGTATTTGAATAAGAAACAACTCGCCCAACTTTCCACTTTGCTGCAACCCTGTACATGGTGGATCATGTGACCTATGGTGCTGGGAACGATGATGATGATAACAGTAATATAAATAACGAGTCGGCCGACACAATGCACCATGTGCACAATAGGAGAGGGTGGCAGGAGCAATACTCACGACTCCGACACTTTAGAAATCTTGACGTTCCTTCTATCGAGCCGGCTTTTGAGCTTTTCAATCTGGGGCAGCGGAGAAAGTGAACGGAAGAAGTCAGTACCGGAGATGCACTTCGAAGCAGTGTCGAGACTAACTGTAAATTGCTCCTGCACAGCAGACTTTCTTTTCATATTCAAGAAAGTCCGATACATAAACTGTCCGGTGTAGCATCTGTGTGCGCATGTATTATTACGAGAATATGCTAACAGTAGCCAGTAAAACTGAACCTAAATTAATGCCTTTCTAATTGGCAATTGCAATGTTACGCAAATTACCCGACTGCACCTGCACTAATGCAATAGTCAAACTAACCAACATATTTATTTTGAGACTTCTCCAAATTCCTGGTATTGAAACATTTGAAAACATAGCCATAGTCGCAATTATTTCCGACACTAATGATTTCAAATTTGCAATCTCTCTGTGTGTAACAATGTTTCATAGTAATTTTGTATTTTGCCTTTTCCTTGTGTGTAATTTTACATGTATCGATACCACTCCTCTCTCTAGTGCCTCCAGACCCTGAAAAATACATAAATAAAATGAAATAAAAGAATTTGATAAACCCTCACTCACCTCTTGTTTGAGGGCCTCTAAAGGGGCATTGAGGTCCCCTTCGGAAACACTGGGACTGATGCGTCCCCCAGGTACTGCACATTGCATGTGCTGGAAACAGAATAATAACACGTCAGAACATTGAGTACATGAGCACATAGTAGACATCTTGCAAGATCGAAGAAATCCTAGCAGCAAAGTGCTGCGCCAAACATCTCCAAATCCCACTGGCAACAATTTCAGTTTCTATTTTGCAACCTCACTTCACGACATCCTGTCACGACCAAATACAGTGTTTGCATTTTCAAATACTATGTGACTTTTCTTGAATTTATATTACTGTTGTCAATGCCTACCAATATGAATAGAATGCTGGGGCACGTTTTTCTGGGCTCCTGACATGCCAGAATCTGTGCACAGGAGACACGGAACTACAATAGCAGATGCAAGAAGTATACTGGACCGATCGTCCTGTTCCATTGTCCGTGTTTCAACGGGGGCTCTCATGAAGATGAATGGGTACAATGCAAGCGAGCGCCGGCTTAATATTTATGCAGTGCCGAGATTCACTACTTCATCAATGATGCAATCGAAATTGAAACGAGGCCACTTCTTTCCATGGCCAAAGAGGCCCCATAATTCAAAGCATGCATATTGCGTGCAGGGTAGTGATGCAAAACTATTGATAAATTGACTATCGATACTATCGATAGTTTTCCGAGACCAACAATAGTGTCGCAGAACTATCGATAGTTTTTCGATAGTCGACTATCGATAGTACTATTGATAGTGTTTCGATAGTTGACTATTGATAAATACTATCAATAGTTTTTTTACTATCGATAGTCAGATTTCTGGAGACTATCGATACTATCTATAGTTTTGCACCACTAGAGCGAACACAGTTGGTGCACCGCCGCTCGCCTCCCTTCCTTCTCTCTCTTTGCCCAAACTCCCGTCTTCGTCATCACTGAAAGTTGAACCAAAGTTGGGATGGCAAGTGCTTGGGCTAGTTGGTGTCCTGTTTGCAAAAAAAGAAATAAAGCGAGAAAAAGAAAGGACGGAGCGGCGCAAACTGCTAGTGTCACAAAACTATTGATAGTAAACCGTCGACAGTACTTTCGACAGGTTTACAATAGTCAACTATTAATAGTTTCCCAATAGTCGATTAACTATGATTTTCCGACAGTCAACTATCGATAGTACTATCCATAGCCTTTCGATAGTCGAGTATTGATAGTACTATTGATAGTTTTTAGATAGTCCACTATCAATAATACTATCGATAGTTTTTCGATAGTCGATTAATAGTACTATACAGTTTTTCAATAGTCGATTATCGATAGTGCTATCGGTAGTTTTTTTGCTAGTCAACTATCGATAGTACTATCAATAGTTTTTTTACTATCGATAGTCAGATTTCTGGTGATTATCAATACTATTGATAGTACTATCGATAGTTTTGCACCACTAGTGCAGGGACTTTTGGAAGTAGCCTATTGACCTCCCACACATTACCGGGACAAAGAATTGAATGGAACTTAAAGCCCGGTAGAGAGTTGGGGACAGAAGGTGTTTCTGCCTGACTGAAGCCTTTACCCCCCTGCAGTTTACAGCAGTACACAACGTAAGCACAATTCTTAAAATAAATACAAATATACACAGGAGCCAAAAAAACCTCTGGCACTTTCATGCATGCATACTTCATACAGCGTATCTCTAAAAAAAAAAAAAAAACCTTATAACATGCTTTACAAAAAAGTCATTTGAGCTGTTTAGCATCTTCAAGAAACATAAGACAAAAAAATATCAATTGTGCAATTATAAAAAAAAATGTTTCATATAAAATGTATTTGTAAAAAAAGAATTACTTATTTAAACAACCATAATTACATAATTACAACTTCTTGCACTTGAGGAAACTACCTGAACAGATTACTTAAAGGAGCTATGCAACAATTTTTGTACTTTGCGCAAATACCGCTTAAAACGGATCCCTGACGTTAATGACCCATGAAACACGCGTTCGTTTTTCACCCCACGCAATAGAAGTCCCAGAAAAAAATTTAAGAAAAACGAGCAGCGTTCACCCCCTCAACTCGCAGCCAGAACAAGCGGCCACGTGATCTGGAGCCGATTATATGCCGCAGCGTTGATCATAGCCACGCGCTGGGGTTGGCAAAGCGCAGGACACGCGCTGAGTTCCAGACATTGTTATGGCTCGGCTGTTGTCGTCGTTGCAGCGATTGGACACGGGTCACAACCCGAATGCTTCTCGAGCTAGCAATTGTCACTAGCCCAAGTCGAGTGTCCACGCAATGCTCGGGTCCAATCTATGAACCGCATTCAAATATCGTCACTTGGGTGTACTGCGAACCCCACGTTACGTCATCAAATTTTGCAAAGGAGAGATTGAATGAAAATGATCGCTTTTGTCCTTGAAATTACACCGCAACAAAGGAGTTTCTTGGCCAGTGGCGTTGCGTGTGAGTATCCTTGAGTCCCAGGTGTGCCAGTAAGCTCGTGTAGAGAGAAAAACATTCCAATTGAATATCGTTGCACCGCTCCTTTAATCGCAAAGCCTTGCTATTGTGCTAGTAGGGTCACATATAGGGAACATAAAACCCCAGGCTGATTCTAAAATCGGCCCCAAAAATCGGCGTCTGCACCATAGCAGTCCCAGATCTTCACCGAAGATGTAATTTGGTGGTGAATTTTACCTCCTAAGATTGCAAGGCACAATTTCCTTCCTGTGATAAATGAGACTTGCAAACTTGACAAGGTCACTCAATTTTCAATGCAGACAATCAATTGAGTTAGCAAGAATTGGGCTCGTGGTGCCATCTCCCGATAGGCGCAGCAAGCGCTTCTGACTGAGTATACCGTCCTCCTCTTACTTCCCCTCCACCCTTCCCCCCCCCTGGTCAGGGTGTCCCATTTCACCTGCAGGAAAGTGGTCACCCTATTGCTCCCCAAAGTAATTGTCCATAATAGAATAAAAATCATTATAACACACCTTGGTAGTGATGAAGATTTTGGTCTGTTGTAAAAGGAGTATGCAAAATACAGATCCTCTTACTACAGACTTTGAGGTGGATTATGACTGCAGTCTGCTCTAACCAGTGAGATTCACGAAATGAGAATGGATATTAGCGTATATATATAAAATGGATATATGGATATATAACGAACTGGTTTATTGACATGATTTTTTATTGAGCTGTACTGATGATTGTCATTGCTGTGTACTTCGGGTCGTACAAGGCTCGCTAGGCAGCGAGAGCGATGACAGCAATTAGCAAAATGCATGCCACCATTACCAAACCAGTCACATAATGTCAGAAATAATGACTGCTGTTGAAGAGTCTGCCATAATAAAATGGCGAACTACTTACAAGCTCCCTAATATAGTCCATTATATCTGAATGTATGTTATAACAGAACCTGTAATAAGCAAAGTTGGCTCAATGGCATAGATAGGAAGACCAATTACACCTAACAAATTAGTATGTTTTAACCAAATGTTTGCTGTAACCAGATCTGTTGTAACGTGGTGTAAACTGTAACGGTACATAAATTCATAAATTTACTCAGTTCGTTCCTTGAAAAGTTGGCTACACCGGGCGAACAAGCACAGTATTTAGAAAATTATTCTTATGCAGAGCGAAAGTCGTCTGCTTCTTGCACAGGAGTTGCAGCGACATAAGAATGACGCCGAGCTCCAATTGGCTTCAATTGAAAGGATGCCTTGAGGTCTACCCACTATCTTTTTTCAAACAGCCAATAAGAGCTCGGCATTCTGACATCATCGCAACCCTTGTTCAAGGGGCAGACAGACTTGTGCTCTGCATAAAGATGGCCGAAAAAGAAGCCTTTTTCAGAAACAAATTGTTAGCCACGGCAGACATGAAGGATTGCGAAATACATACTAATCACCTAAATATTTCATTAAAATTTACTTATTAACTTTATAATAAGATAAAATAAACATGATTCCAATTAGAAACTTGCTGGGCATCATCAAAAACCCCTATGATCAGTCAAATATAAGATAACTTAAAGCCTATGTGAAGTGCAGGAGTGTGTTAAAGTGCGTCTCCCCGTTGCATTCCAGCCCTTTTGCGCCGTTGCCTCCTACGCCCAAAGGACTAGCGGCAAAGGCCAGAAATGAATGCGTGCAGTAGAAAGGTGACTCACCTTTGCGCTTTTGATTGGTTTGTTCATACGGCAGGCCTTTTTAATGTCGATTTCCGTAGTATTTACACAGCCCGGCTGTGGGGAAAAACAGACCGCGACATACGTCATGCCTCGACGATCCATCACCTCTATTTACCGGTGCTGTTAAATGGAACGTCGAAACAATTGCTAAAACAATGGAACACGAAACGGCAGCCAACGTACGAAAAGACCACCCCGAAATGTCGCTAACCCAGCAACTGCCGGAGTCACGTGCTCTCCGTCGTTTGAAGTTTTACTAGCTTAATGTCCCGAGAGATGCTCCACACCCGAAAAACAACCAACCCCTATCTTTGGCGCAATTCACAGTTCTTTCAAAAACACCGAAAGATAGCCCACCTCTAGTAGTTGCAGGGTTCTTACCCATGGTGACCTCAACAGAACTGGTGTTACTCAGCCACGGCGGGAGATAAGTGACCATTGCAAACTGGGAAGGACAGTTTTCCGTGCTCCATTGCCCCTTCTTGATTACACACCGAAAGTTGCCCACTTTTCATTTTCACCCAAATTGCTCTCGCTTTTAGGTGGGCTATCTCTCGAGATGCCACGGTATATGCGACTTAACCAGTTCGCCTACTAGCAACAATCAACGCAAAATTGTTTCTTGCAAAAGCGTTAAGTGCGAGTAAGGAGACGCCCTTCGTAATGCTCACGGGAAGGCACTGAGAGCGGACAGAAGGATTTCTACTCACCACGGGCCTATGTACATCCCAGAATGCCCTCTCCTGGCTATCCAGCACTTTCCGTTCCAATTTGTCCCTCTTTTTGTCCACTCTGCATCCATAAAAAAAAAAAAAACGACAAAAAAAGAAAAAAAAAAGGAAATGTTCAGGAGTTGCAAGGTGAGATTCTTGAATGGGCCACTGAGCGCCGAAAAAATGCAGGGCGCAGCTTTTTACGTTCACACCTCCCGCTTCGCAATTTGTTCTTCGGCATCCTCATCGGTCAATGGTCAGGCTCGCCGCACCCTGCGTTTCTTAAGTCGACGGTGACCGTACGCGACAAGAAGACGGCCATAAAGGGGTGCCTCAACACCCCGGACGTGCAAAACGAAAACCATTATTTCATTCTCAAAACTGCAAACAAACTTTAAGGGCTCGTTCCTACCAGACAAACAAGCAAGTAACAAGCGTCGGTCCCAGACACGTCGAACAACAGTGTTAGCTAGCAACGCTTCTTGCACTCAGTGTTATCAACTGGCAGCAGAGAAATATAAGGCAATGGTGCCGAAGATGGGTCGGGTCGCCACAAAGTTGCTTTCAAATGGCTCGCCGGACGATCGCAGCATCTCTCGCATTACATATCTGGCCGTTTGAATGGACTACAGGTAGAGGATTTGCATCTGGGGTGGCGCGACATGTTTGTGCCAATTGCCAATGCCTGTTAATGTGAACCGCTGGAACTGTTCAAACTCTCTCAGGAAATCTGCAATTCTTTCACAACCGTCAAACCAATTGCAATCCAATGTTTTCAATTTTTCTTTTTTTTTTTCCCAAAATTTTTAAAGGGGCATTAAGGTGGATTTTGAGGCTGTCTCTTTGTGGTGCAAGCCCTAGCTGCACACCCCAAGCATCTCATAAAATCCAAGATTACATTCGCACGTGGCCCTTTTCGCTGAGAATGCGACTGAACACCGCGACACACCCGTTTTTCTGACACATCTCAGGAAAAGGGACGTGTCACAGTGTTTGGTCGCCTCTCAAAATTAAACATCAGTAAAACCAACTGCACTAATAAATCAGGAAAAAAAAATGGAACCTGCTTGGTGTGTCCTCGTTTTAGCAAAATAATAATACACTAAATTACCACTGAAAATATTCCGCAGCTACAATAGGCTGGTTCAAGGCACTCTGGCGGGGGTTTACTGGTTGGTAGACGGCATGCGCCAGTAATTTGTTTCTTGCAACACAGTTAATTAGTCAAAGTTTGAACAGCGTCACCCGCAAGTAATTACCGTAAGATACGGAGAAAGCACCCACGGCCACACAAGCGCTCGCTACCAAATTTTACAGATTCCAAAGGTTGTGCGAAGCACTACATGTCAAGCGCCCACCCCCTCGAGCCCAATGTACGCGTTTAGAAGCAAAAACAAAATGAGAGACTAACTCTCTACCCCTTCCTTTTTTAAACACACTTTCAATAAAACAAAGAACAGAATACAAACGCCCTAGATGCTCGCTGCGCTATTCCCGAGCGTATTGTCTCCATTCACGCAATGCTCGTACATTCTTCTTGGGCTTTCCTTTTTTATTAAAGTAATTTTTAGGTTTTCTTTTGCCTTTGGATTCAATTGTGGCGAGAAAGACTTTTTAGATGGTCAACTCCAGGTCCGAGAAGTAACGTCGCAAATGTAACAGTTCCTAATTTTGCGGCTCCTTTTTTGAGCAAACGAGCCTCGGAGGTATATTTTTACTTCGTCTGGAACTTTCAAATTAAAAACCGACGTCTTGCCTTTGACCCTTCCCACCGAAAGAGTGCCCGTGCCTCCGTTTCACTCGATTTCTGAGAAAATTTCGGCGGCTGCTCCTTCTATACTTTGTGCTAGTAGCAATAAAGCGAAAGATCTTCCCAAATAAAACTTGCATCGAGCGTCCAACGTGACTCGTCCAAGTTACGTAAATTACACGACTTGAGCCGTTTAGCCGCAGGGTACAGTTGAACGGTGCGTAAAATGGTGAGCGACATTTTTTTTCGGTGAAATGTCCTCGAGGCTAGCGCAGCTTTCACGACACCGTAGCCCCACACTGCTACGCAAGCACGTGGAGTCATCTCACAACCTGCAGAAGAGGCCAAACAGAGTCACACGCTCGCACAAAGTAGCTTTGACGGCACCGAGGAATCTAGGCTAGCCTCGATGTCCCTGCATGAAAGACGTGGACGCCGAGCATAGGCACAACTCTGCACGTTGTAAATGAGAACAACAGAAGAAAAAAAAACATTTTGCAGTCCGTTTTGTTGATCCCCGACAAATGTCTTGCACATGGAATACGTCATGGGGTCGTCACATGAACACAATCTCGTAACCATCCTCCACTAAACTCAGTGGGATGTAAGCCCGCTAAATTTAGCAGATGACGTCACTTCTGCATCACCTTGTTATGTCGCTATTTTATGCGTGTCATTTCCTACGTAGCAAGGCCTATAATACATTCTACAGGGTGCTTGCAAGCACTATACTGCTGTAAAAATATTTGTAGAAATAAACCAATAAACTGAGTGCAATCAAACTCTTCACGCAGGTGTCTTTAGGTAGTGCATTTATCAAACTTAAATTTCATGAGGGCAGGTTTTAGCAAACAAATTTTAGCCGAAAAAATCTTGTTATTTTTCTATGCACAGAAAGGAAAACAGTAAAAACTGTCTGCCCTCCCTCTGCATATGAAAAAAACTGCATTTTATAAGCTTAATTTTTCTTTTTTCCTAAAACACCTGTTTATGAAATTCGAATATGATCGATAGACCATCTAAAAACATCTCTGTAAAAAATAAATCATTGATTTATTTATAAAAAAATATTTTTACGCCCTAACAGCGTCTGGAAACGCCTTGTACTTCAAAAGGATGGTGGCAATAGGTGTTAAAAGTTGCCTCTCGGCAAACGCAAGGCATGAGAGAACAAAGTGAGGCAGTACGCACTTGGCTTGCGCTTCGGCCTGCATGAAAATGAACTCCCACTTGCGAGAGAACATCTTCTGAAGCCGAGCCAGGTTTTCCGCCTCGTAGTCGGCCAGCTCCAGTCGTGTCTTGTTCTGCATTGTTCTCTTGCACAGGTACACAGCTGCGTAGAAAAAAGCACGAAGACGGCGCTTAGACAATTGCCTTTTTAGCAGATGCGCAACAATGCAATTGTGGCCTCACATTGTTGCACAACATTTTTTTTTTTTCTATTATTTCCTGCCATTGTGCTAAAGGGCGAGTATTATTGTGAGCCCTGGCTTTGATGAAACTAAACACCGACTCGTGATGCAGAGAGCATTTGCCACTACAAACGTCATATTTTGCTGCAACTCAAGTTTCGCAAATTTCACAAATATAAGCCGATCGCGAGAAACTGACTCTGCAAATATGCTGACCGTGCATGGAGTTTATGACCCGTTTACTCCTGGTTTCAAAATTTAGTTTCAGAACAATATTTTTAACAAAAAGTATGAGTTTGGCAAAGTTTGTAAAATACTAAGCTTGAGAGTATACCGTCGTTTACAGTGTATGGGCATACTAACCCAACAACCGTTTTGAGATGCAACTGTGTCGCTTGCAAAAGAGGAAGGCTGCAATGTTTTGCATGTTAAGCCCACTTCCTTTTGAGCGTTCACCTCCGAGAAAATTTCGACGATTTCGCAACAATGTTTTTGTTATTTTAGTCTAAAACTTTTGACAGCGTGGCAAAAGTAAAGCAGGCCCTTCCTTGCGGTGAGGCCAGAAAACATCTTTCCTTGGCTGGAATGGTCCACTTAGACCGACCAAAAAAAAACACCTTGAAAAATCAAGTTAACCGCTGCCATAGGCACGAGAATTACGAGCCAAACCACCTTCAGACAGTCATTACTCAACACTGTCCAAACATCACTCACCATAGTCAGTATTTTCAGGTTCCCAGCAGTTTGACGGCCAGAAGTAAGGCGTCTGCAGGGCAAGAAAGAAACGTTTGAAACAAGTCCCATTGTACAAGCAAGTAACCGTTCATCGCAGTCAATAAAATTACATTTCAGAAAGCTCCTTTGCTTTCAGAAGCAAAACCAGGAGGCTTTTTGTATACAGACTAAGCTCGTTATAACAGACCTTGATTTTGACCAAGATTTCGGTCTGTTGTAGAAAGAGTATGTTGTATGCAGATATGAAGTTGAGTCAATGCTGCATAGAGGAAAACCAACCGAACATCATAGATCGGTATGTTATACCCAAATGTCTATTGTAAACAGGTCTGTTATAATGAGCTTAGACTGTATACTAGGGGCAAATTAAACAGTGGTGTGTGTTACGTACGGCACTTATAGCTTTCTGGCATTTATTGTTGACAAGGTGTGGAATAATAAATTGGTGCTTATTTATCACCGTTTACTAACACCAACTCTAAGTGCATGCTACTCGACCGCATGTATGTGAGGATGCACATAAAGAAGCAAACAAGGAGACACAAATGCAAGCAAAAGTGAAACAAAATGAAGTAAGAAAACATTTGTTTAATTGCACGAGATTTGTTCATTAAGATACACAGAAAAAGGCACATCAGCTTCGCGTCATATTCACATTTAAGGTAAGAATAAAATATTACAATATCATTAACACCAAACTTTCACTCAGATATCTGAAGTTTTTATCTTGGTCAGTTCATTATACATACGTACTAGCATTTGGCACAGAATGGCATAATCTGGGCGTTTCGGTTATACATTGCAAAACAAACCAGCACCCATAGAAATATTAATTCAGTTACAAATTCTGTCTAGAGATGGCACCATTTCCCGAGCGAGATCACGAGATCACTTCCAAGGGTTCCCTGTACCGAACCGACAACCTAAACAGTCGTGTACACACCACCACCCGACTTTCATCTCCTGCTCTGTCAAGTATGGTGCCATGACTTAGCAATGTGGTGAGAATTCCATAACAGGAAAACATGATCAGGTTGCCATAACTCTGCAATATGGTCAAGTTACCCCAACTGGGCAATACGGCCTAGTTTTCGTAATCCCACAGTTCGATCAAGCTACCACGACTCAGCAATTCAGTCCGTTTGCCAAACTCGACAACTTAATCAGGTGGCTGTAACTTGAAAATTTGGTCAAGGTACAGTACCGCCATGGTCCCCGATAACTTAAGAAACGCAAAGTGGGGCAAGTCCCGAGCAGGTTCTCCGCAGCAAGGGAGGTTGCGGGATTCGACGAAAAGAAAGCAGACGAACAAATCGCGAAGTAAGAAGAGCGAACGCGATAAGCCACGCTCCGCGTAAAGCTGTTAAGTGCCGAGATAATGCAAAGTCGGGGTTGTGTCGGTGCTGCTGTCAGTACTGACTCGTCGCTGAAGTAGCCTGTGTGCGTAAGCGAGGAGAGGCAGGCTCACATGCAGCAAAGCACTGATCTGGTGCAAAGCTAGCACTACGTTTATGACGTCGTGTTGGGGCAGTGATGTATGTGTGAACAAAGCTTGCGGGACACGGGACAAAGTCTACCCACCTGAAACCTGTAGAAGGTTCCGTCGGCCTTCACGGTGAGCATGTGGTCATCGATGGGGAAGAAGTAGCCATGCGAGGACATGAGGTGTGCCAGGTGCAATGCTTCTGCTGGAAAGACACACGTGCCCAACCCTCACGCCACAGCTTAGGCAGAACTAATGCCAGGCAGGACTAATGCCAGGCAGGACTTATGACAGGCAGGACTAATGCTTTTTTTCGGTCGCTGTTTCCCCGCACTTCAAGAACAGCAGAATCACCTTTCTGTGCCTTCGTTACTTCATTATTACTTCATCAATACAGTGTGTAACCACACTAATTTCTAATGCCTTAGGCTGGGACGGTATATGAAATAAAGAAAGAAATAAACACAGGTATCTTCTGAACATCCACAAGATTGTGATGGAATGTGAGAACGTCCTCGGGACATTCGTCGAACCATGTGCGCTGCCAGTGAGGCCAACCATACCATAAGACGTGAACCAGCATTCAAAATTGGGAATACCAGGTAAAGGTCGGAATAACAAGTTGCAATGCAAATGCATGCAACGTCTTCTTCCTACCTCGAACGTCAAATGAACAGAGACCCTTCTTCTTATTTCAGTTTCAACTGCACTGACACTCTTTTTATTTCTGGACAACCAGCAGCGTCCTTAGATGAGAACCCTACTACATCTCGTGATAACCCAGTTTTCACAAGTTTTGCTAAAAAAAAAAACAATACGGCTACATAGATTTTATTAAAAAATCACCCATGATACAAGCAGACCATAGGCCCGCTGATTTCTGATCATAAAAATGGCTTCCTGCAAGATACTCCAGACAGAGGCACATTTAGAAAGTTTGGCAAGTAGAAGGGTCAGAAGCATAAGGTTGTTTGCAGAAATCAGTACAGTATATGAATGCCAGATCAAAAAAAAAAATACCTCTCAATAAAAATGATAAAGTACAGTGTGTCTCAAAACAAAGTTTACAATACAAAATAAACCAGAAAAACTGGATGTGCTAATACTGTTTGACAACCATTGTACGACATTACATTCATTGAGAGGTTGTACAACACACTGTACCTTCCACAACCGATTTCTTCATTGCAATTCCTACTTTGGAAGCTATCAGCCATTGATAATGTCTACAAATAAAATTGAAATAAAAAAACAAAAAGAAAATCAATCAGTAATGTTAGAAGTCACTCACTCTGGTCGTCGACATCCAAGTTCTTCATCATCCAAGCAATGAGATCAGCGCCTACAAGAACATGCATCCCAATATCAACACCAACATGCACCAACCGACTACAAGTCATCAACGTCTGCAGTACCTATATCAAACCGGTATGAAACAAACCAAGAATAACCTTCCTACCACCTTGCCAAACCACCATAAATTCCTGCAGATGACAAACGTTGGTGATCCATGTCAAGGCAAGCACTCAATGTTTTGTCATCCATTCCTGCACTATGGCCATGAGGACTGCTAAATGAATAGGCAGCATGGATCCTGGCTGGGTCCTGAACTGATACCTATACAGCTGGCTTTTTCTTTCCAGAGGCAACATACCCATGTTTTAAAATAAACAAGACACCAGGTTACCAGAAATTAATAACTAGTTTTCAAAATCAATTGCGCCTATGGCCAGGGTTGAACATTCTCTGGGTAAGACGGGGGATAAGAAAGTAGTTCCGCTTCATTTCGCTTATTTTATCTCAAAGGCATCTAATGATGCATTACGTGATGGGTAAAAGCATGAAAGTGGAAGAAGTTGCAGCATATACACATACACGTGAGCAAAACAGAAATTAGAACAAGTAGTGAGAGACATCGTGATCTTTTAAACCGAATACGACTCAATACCATTAGATACGAGAAGGAATTACCAGAACAGGCTCAATATTTTCTAACATTAAAGAGCTCGGCATGGATACGAGTTCCTCTCCCCCCCTTCCCACTCTGTTTGTTTCAACTACTCGGTCTCAAACTGCCCATTCCATGCACCACGCTAAAGCTGCCTCCCAACCTCTGAGGAGGAAGATGGTGATGGATCGCTCACCGGTAAAGACGCTGGGTATCTTGGACATGAAGCTCTTGACTGTTCGCACCGGCACCCCAGCCTGTTCGTCCTGCATCCTTTCCACTATGTGCTCCATCTGTGGAGGAGCATGCCGAAATACCCATCAATCACAGGCACCACATACACTGCATAACACTGTTAGTGCAAATCATGGTGCCAGGAACCCATCTCCGACTCGTGTGTTTAGCATCCTATCCCACCCATACATCAAAAGTGTTCCCGAAATGGCAACAGACGACGTCACAAAAGCTGGAACGCACACACCACCTCTTGCTGAAACAATGTGTTTGTTGTTGCTGTCTTTTTGCCAGCCTTGGGTTGAAGCATCGATATGATTTATCAGCTCACTCGCGTGTTTACTCTTCCATCATGTACAGCAAGAGTGTCGCTGTAAGAACCACAGTCTTTTTGTTTCAAGAAAACCTGCTGGAGTAACCACGTGCGTGAAGGCAAGATTTTTTTTTTTTTTTAAAGAATGATTTTTGTATTAAGTTAAATGTCTTGTTTACATTCTAAAGACTGCAATAGAAACATGCATTTCTTGATTCAGCTTAAAAGGTAAGCTTTCATCGTGCCAACAGTTTTTTTACAATATTAAATTAGCATTTGGAAGAGAATTGTGGTCTCTTAAACTAAAAATCCAGGTGAACTTGTTAACAATATTACTAACCTTCTGTTTGTCTACAGCTAAACAGGGTGGAAAATAAATGTCAACATTATTAATAAACTGCGATTTAAATCGGACCAGTTTCACTATGATGATTTAAATCAAGCCTTTCCCGCAAAGATAATCCTGAAAATATTTTTTATTCATTGTTTGCCTATTATTTGCATCTTTCTATGTGCGTTTGTTTTGTATTTAAATCGAAGAATCATCAGCAATAACGGTTTCTGTAAGGCTGAGCACAAGCAAAAAGAAATGCTCTTCTGAGCGAATCGGAGCATTGAGGTTTCTTTCTATCTTCCATTTTGTTTGTCAGCACATAACGGCCTATTTCAATAAAATCAGAACTCGAAAGAAAGAAATGATAACTAGAAAAGATTGTCCTATTACAGTCAAGTCAGAGCTATAAGGAAAAATCAAGTGAAGTTTTTTTTCTCCCCAAAAAATATTAATCTGTGGCTCTAGTATGGTGGGGATTAGAGCAATAAAAAGTTGTTAATTTAACTGTACTTTACATGTACAGTAATTCTTTATTACTGTACATGTATCATTATTCATGATTAGACAAATCGATAAGTCAATCTGCCACATTGAAAAATATATCTAGTGATAAAGAGTCACTATTTTCTAGCTACAGCAATTTAAATAAAACTAATCTGATTTAAATCAAATAAATCTGCACATATTTTAAAAAGTCGGAGACAACAGACAAAGAAGGTGACAAACACAGATTGTTTCAATTGTACTTTACATTTACAGTAATTTACAGAAATGAATCAGCTTTAATATGAAATCATGTTTGTTTTCTGGCCTGTTGCTAAAATGCATTTTAATTTTAATTAATCTAATTATTTGACTGTGTTCTCCAACAATCAATGGCCTACACAGGGGTAGTAGGCAAAAAAAGGATTTGACATAACAATGTAACTTTAGCTCAGCCAAGCTATGCATACTAAAATAGGACCCGAGGGGTCCTCTTATTATACCGAAATATTGTTCCTTAAATCTAAAAATATATATATATATTCACAATCCATGAGGCATGCAGCTGTCAGGAATCAGGATACACAGCCCATCCCATATACGGTAAAAAACATGATTTTTTTTTTATTACCTATGTTTTGCGAGCTTCGTGACTTGCAAAACATTGTGAAAAATTTATTGCGCAAAGATATCACGCCTTGGTAATGAACACACAGTATATCACTCTGTCTAAATCTCAAGATAATGTGCCTAGGGAAATATTCCCGCAATGTGCACACTCCGCAGAAGTTGTAAAATATTGACACCATGAAAATTAATTTGTGTACAGTCAGAATTAATAAGGGCAATGTTATTCTTTAAATATTTAGTGATTGAAGCGGCATTTGAGCGTTTAGGAGTATGTGTCCCTAAAAATCTGGAGACGGCAGGACCAAAAAATTCCATAATGCAACATGCGCAGCCACGTGTGACGCCACATGTGGCTGTGACTTCATGCGCTAAAGTTGGCAAAAGAAATTTCTACTAAATTTAGCGTAAAATTTTCCTGCCAAATTTAGCAGAAGATTCCAATGAAAACATGTGGTCATCTGACGTCACGTGACACCAGACGCTACAGGCTAGACCACGCACACACGCTTGCACGGAGTGGGAAGGAGCGCGGGTTTAATGAAAAGGCTTTGCGAACAGGGCCCGATAACACTATCCCACTCTTAAAGGCGAAGCTTAAGCGTCCCCTAAGTTTTTGTAGCAGGTTCTGTAGCAGGCAAAATAGCAGATGCCAACATCTGCTAGCATCACTTGGGAATACATAAGTGGTTGCATCTCTAAATGAGTTCATTTATGATAGTGCGACACTTCATTGGCATAAATCAGGGGTGGCCAAGCTGTGGCTCGCGAGCCGCATGCGGCTCTCCACGTGTTAAAGTGCGGTTCGCGGCTCCCTCCCCTACCCACCCCCTACCCCGCCTCTCTCCCGGTCACACAAGCACTTCCCCAAAAAGAGAATTGGAACGTGTTTTAAATCGAAAGACAGGTTGCGGTTTGGTAGTCTTGTGCTACTACTACATTATCTACAGTTGAACTGCTTTTGAATCAGATAAGTAGTTCAAGTTACTTTTATTGCTCTAGATAAAAGTTTGACCCCCCCCACCGCGGCTCTTGGAAGTTTAGTGGTTTTTCCTGGCCACCCCTGGCATAAATCCTCTCTCCCCCTCTCCAGTTTACATTCGGTAGTCTGTTTAGCCTGCAAATATAATTTCTGCAAAATGCCAGCAAGAATCAGCATTTTCGCTAAAACATCTACCAATAAAAATGTGTCCCGCAAGCTTAATGAACCTACCAAGCTCAAGACACTAGCAACATAAACTGCAAAAACAACCACTCAAAAATATTATAAAAGCCTACACGTGTGCTTTAAAGGTGACACTGCTCTTTAGTGGCCAGAGTTATGTCAAAGTTCGCTGCTCTTTCGACCGACAGCCGCACGGAAACTACCGTGATTGCCGTATTAAAATGTATATACTGGATCCGAGTTTTCTTCTCTCAATCTTTCTCTGCTCAGTTCTTTTCTTTTCTTAATTAGAGAATAATTTAAAATTAGAACGAAGAAGGTCGACCTGTAATAACCCTGAGCATAATTTGCGTGAATATCGCGCTAAGCCATGGAACGAAGGGATGTGGCAGACATGATAGTCAAGTAATCTGATTAGAAGTACAAGACCGGGGTTCTGTTTTATCGCAGTAGCTGCAATCGGCAATCCTACTATTTTGCAAAGTTTCCTCGGGAGTGACATCAACGACATCGTCTGGAAATTTCTACGATGTTGGCGATCCACCAGCCAGTGCGTCAGCCGGCCAGAGCGGTTGCTGCCCAGCGTCAACCACTCTGGTCGCGTGATTCGCAGCATCAAGGCGCGACATTGTGGCATTCGTTGTCACTTTGCATGTGTTCTTTCATCGACTAAACCAATCAAGTGCAGCGAATGTCCCATGACTTGCGCTTTTAGTATGCGTGTTTGTTGTTGTATGTGTTTAAGCCTTCAACTGTACTCTAACCTAAGACGAAACAAACTATACAGTGAGTAGACATTGTGAAATTAATATTTGAACAACTTTTTGTTCCTTCTACTTCTCTGGCGTCTACGACGGAGCTTTTCTTTGGAAACTCCATCTACGAGGGAGTTTCCAAAGAAATATTAGTAACTCTCCTAAATGTAAGAAGTTGATTAACTATTTTCTTATACAAATATGACTTATTCGAATGTTCAGCTTTTTGCTAGCTCTGTAACAAAACAAACAATAAAAATACTGGCAGCCTTGTGCAACTTGGTAACAGTCAGTGTGTCTTGTCAACCCGGTCACAACCAAGCCTCCCTAACAATATTCTTTTTCACGTATCTAGTGTGCGCAACACATTCAAGCAATTGTTACTTCTTTGTTTAGTGTTCAGAAGAAAAAAAATATTAAGGAAAAAAACGGAAACGAAACAAGAACCTGCCGAACTGTGTCGTGCTAACACCCGTAGCAGACGGCACGAAAATCCGTTATCTCTTTCCGGCAGACGAGTGGCCGGAGCCCTGAACCGGAAAAGGAAATGACGTCACAACATCGATGCGGCGGCGGCATGCAGACGACGCGAACCATAAGTACTGCTCGTACCGGAAAAAAAAAAAGAAAAAAAAAACTGCGAGGTTAATTTGGGCAAACCCTGCAGGCACCAACTGCACTTAAATTTAAAAAAAAAAAAAAAAAAAAAACATTTATTTTTTTGCTTTTTTAACCTTGTAAGGTTTTCTTTTTTCTTTTTGTGTGCTTGATATGTGCAAAACTTTTGCTGATTTACATTCTCGTCAGTTGCGTGCTCATGAGACGCCGAAGTGTTATCAAAGTTATAGGTCGGTCTCACAGGTGATCACCTGTGAAACCGACATTTTCCAGACATGTATACACACACAAGAAAAAAAAACAGGTCCCGTTATCATTTATTTTTTTGCTCTTTATCACACCAGCAAACGCGAAACGGTCGTCAGGCAGCGCGCCAAGCCACAAAGCTACTATCCCACCTTAAGGAAAGTACTTAAAAAAAAAAGAGGGACTTAAAAAAACGCGAGCAATCGAGGGCAGCTTCTTCACTTCGTAAATATTTCTTCAAACGCCCACGCCCCCTTGCGGCCGCGACGCGCGAGTTTAGGTAGTACCTTTAACGCAGTCAAACCAAAATAAACCCCACGTGCTCTGTGCGCAAGAATACGCATACACAAATCCGAAAGCATACAAAGAAAGAAGGCGTAAACGTTAACAACTGCGTCAAAGCACAAAAAAAAAAAAATGAACGAAACGAGCGTGGAAGGCGAACCCCTTCAGAAAATACGACGGTCGTTTTGAAGAAGAGAACGCTCACGGTTGCTAAAATTGAAGCAGAAGGCGGC